CGTACGCGTCTCGTTGCGCTACAAGTTGTAAAGTACGCAACGACAAAGTGTCATCGTAAAAATGATACGTATATAGGGGGGCGACCGACAGGTGCTGCGCGTTGCACATAGCTCGCCGAGTGACCGACAGTTACATCGCTCGAGCCAGCTGAAAGTAACATTATACGGGTGCAGCGGAGGTGGCAGCTTTTTGTCCTTATTATAACAAACCCCCCCTCCCTCATTTTCGCTTCATTTTCGAGGGCGTGAGAGTTTTTGTGCTGTAATTTGTCGCCCCAGCTCGCAAAAGTTTTAACGAGCAAATACGTATATAGTGTCGAGCGCACGAATGAAGCTTGCACCGGTAATGCACAATCGGAAGGAAAAGAACGAATCGAAGCAGACGCGCGCATTATATCGCGCACACGTGTATAGAAAAGCTATGTAGAAATTTTCAGTCATAAACGAGCTACGAGAGTGAATTTGTATAATACGAAGTTTTAGACGTTGGCAAAAGTCGTAGAACGCAGTCATCGTGTGGTCAGACGTGCCAAAGCGCCCACCTACGTATATATAATCATGTCGTTAGCCGCAGACGTTATTGTTCGCGCGTGCGTACTCGTTGTGTGCGCGAGTGTGCACGAAACGGATCGCACGAGTGTGTTTTTCTTAAATATACACGACGCCGTGCGCCAACGAGGAAGACGCGCGGCTCTCTCATTATAAACCGACGACGAAGACGAGGAGTGGCCACTTTCCTGCGCAGTGCTTTTCCCGATTCAAAGAGACTCGCGCGCCCCGGAGCCGCGATAATTATAAAACAAAAACTAAACAGCGTGGAGAAAAAAAATCTTCCTCTTTTGTTCGCGTGTTTAATACGCCCCGATGCGGCTTGCAGCGCGGTTTGTTTACGCGTATTTCATTTTATTTATTTTTTTGTTTTTTTGCCTCTGTGTGTATAACATTACGCGCCCATCCGCGCATATAAAATCACGAACTTGTCTGTGGAAATTCGTGCGCAGCTTCTGCTGCTGTTTTTTTAATTGCAAAAAGTACGAAAATGGCTTTCATTACGATACGCGCAATACTTTATACGTACAGAAAAAAAAGTAAACTTTCATACTCTTTCTCTATCTCTGAGCTGTTTTTCCGTTTGTCAGATTGTTATAAGCTCTCTTGCATGCGTTTTACTGTACTATGTAGTAGCCTTTTCCAACGTAAGCGGCGATCTCCGCGCGTGTAACACAAAAAAAAGGGCGTAACGGTCGAACCCATATACGTACCTAAATATAAAGTCAGACTAAATCTATGGATCCGAATGTATGTATAAACCGTTGCCTTGTATTTCGAGGGACTTTTTTTTTTTACTTGTATACGTCGAATCTTGATCGAGGAATTCGAGCTTGCAGCGAATCGGTGGCGAAAAAAAAAGAAAGTACAGAGAAACGCGTAAAGTATCAAATACGAGCTCGACATATCGCAGAGTCAAATAGGCTGCTGCTGCTGGGGGTTGTAAAAACTCAAAGTATACAGCACTTGCCAGCCGAGAGTCAATTTTAGTGAGCCATTCTCGAAGCTAATATCGAGCTTGCGGCTGCGAGAAGGACATTCGCGAGCGGCGTTCAAAAAAGCGAAAAAAAAGGAGAAAGAAAAAAGAGCCCCTCGCGACAATCGCACTTTCGCGCAGATACGTCGACGACACCTGTATATACCTATATTGTATGCTCGTAGGGCTCGTTATACGGCGCCATTAGCGAAGGGAGGAAAATATGCATATAACGCGAGCGAGACGGAGGGACTCTCTTTCTCTGTCAAGCTTGGGTATGTAATGTAGCGAGCGAAACGTTACTACTACTACCTACAGAACGAAGATCGTTGCGTCACACGAGGTGCCACAAGCTCGCACAATTGCTATCGACCCTGGCCCAATTAAAAAAAGCAGCGTCGTGGCACCGGTTTTGTCGGAGTTTGACGAGACAATCGCGCGGCTTACAACGCGATAGACCAAATTTATTCGGGCAAATGAGAACGAGACCAGTTCGGAATACTTTGGAAAATAGCGTTAAAATTATTCGCGGAGCTTTGTCGCGTTAATTATATGCGCAGCCTGGCCACACAATAAACAAGCAGAGATGCGATCGCATGCCAGCTCGTCGGACGATCGTTCGTCCCGAGGCGCTGCATTTGCTGCAGAGATAGCCCCAAGCCGGTTTGCCTCCCGTTGAGCTGCTGCTTTACGACTACTTTTTCCGTCGAGCTTGCGAAAAAAAAATATCAGCCATCTGATTCGCGCAAAAGGCGAAATCGAATTTTCGCTCGGGGGTTACGACGTTTTCGCGTCAGTCCATACGCGCTACAGAGCTACTGCCAGCAATTTATCGATGCGAATATTCCAAGTAAACGCTTTTTTCCAGAAACAGTGAGCTTTCACGGAGAGTATAACGGTTTCGAGTGTCTTTTGGGGGGTAAAAAACGAAAATAAAGCTGCTGCAGGTACATCGTCGCAGGGTGCGCAGTAAAAATGCAGTGTGTAACTTGGAGTTACGCGTGAATAACACTATCTCGAGGCCACGAATAAAGTGCTGATGAACGATGAAAAAAGAAACACACTCATTTGGTCCAACTTTCGCCAAGTGCAATTATGTTTTATAAATTATGCAACTATCAATTAAGTCATCTCGCACTCGCTCTTTTCGGCTAATGGGCGCTGCCGAAAAATAATTATATCAATCGAGATGATTATTATTTTTACGATTATTATCGTAATTATATTAATTAATCGTCATTATCGCGGGCTGGCGCGCAGTGTTTTATACGAAATTTATTTTACAGTAAATGCTAGATTTTCACTGTCGCATTGTTTCAAATGTTTTTGCTCATTACTCGATACGTATCGTGCAATATATTAAAAATCTGCGTTGAATTTTACCTCGAAAGTATTTATAATAATTTCAAACAAGTACAGTATTTAAATTTCGAAAGGATCTATTTCGTTTCTTCGTCAATGTAAGCGTGTGCAGAAATGAGTCGTGAAGAAGGTAGAAAAATAAACGAAGTCAGAGGCTCAATGGCCCAATTAATCTCTGACAATCATTTCAATCGTTCGTAAAGACGATATACAATACAGCAGAGTTGAGTGGGTGTAGTGTGTATACGAGTGTATTATTCAACTGCAGATAGAACATATTAAAGCACACACATGGACGAGGCAAAAAATCGCTCGGAGAGTACACATAGTTTGTTTCCGAGTAGCCGCTTGCGCGCGTTCATATTTTCCGTTCTACGAGTTACTTTGCTCGCGCGCGCGCCGACACGGGCGTCATAAAGTACGCCGCTGCTCCTGCACAGAAAGTAAGCATAGTCACGCGAACTCAAGTTCAGAAAAACAACCGAACAACAGTAATAGAAGGCAAGTAAAATAAAATAAAAAAAAAGAGGAGGATGAAAAAGAAGAAGAAGTGAGCATGGGTGGGTTATAGAAGACAGCAGCAGCAGCAGCAGGAGCCATACATTAGGAAGTCATAAGAAACGTGGTAGAGGAGGACGGGAAACGATATATTGCCCGTAAGTGTGCGCGTGTGTGTGTGTTTCAAATGTACCAAATAAAAGCCATTAGTTCTCCGTTCAACGTTATACTCTACACACACATACGATATAGTTGGCAGCGGTGGTAGTCGAGCGCACTCATCGCGATTACTTTATATACGCACACTTGGTTTTCGTATCTACTTGTGTGTGTGCATGTGTACAATGTGTATATATACAGAGAGAACAACTCTATATGTACACATTCGTTTGCCCTCAACTCCGCGCGCTAAGCTTTAGCTCTACTAGCTCGGCAATAATTACCTAAATGTATTTATTAATTTAAGTAATTGTTCAAGTATCGTCGTGGGTGAAGCTAAAGCGTTTACGCGTTTCTTTTTTTTTTTTTTTTATTTTATATGGAACATCAAAACAGTCTTTTTTCGCGTATTTTTTTGTATCTTTAGAAATTATTCTTTCGGTTTCGATATCATTACCGATGCGTTTCCGTTTAATTCCCGTGATATAACGTTAACGCATTCAAAAGGTGCATCTGTTTTACTCGGCCTATCCTCGGTCTTTTGTATATATAAAAAAAAAACAAAGCAACGTGGCAGAATACACATATGTACACTAGCACGAGTCGTTACAGTAAAGCTAGAAGTGTACAGGTGTGTGTAACAAAACGCAATGAAACTCACTCTTACGAACACACATGCACGGCCCGCACGCAACAATCTGCACTCCGAATCGACAGATTCGACCGACCCTCGCACAATTCACACACACGCACATGCACAGACAAATGTGTGTGTGCGTGTGTGCAGCTGCAGTGGCATGTGCAGGGGGGGCGTTTTTCGACGTACTCTCGCACGACCGTACCGCGCGACCAGTACACTAGTAATAATGAACTACTATACAGAGCTACATAGGATATATTATAGATATACGTGTTGTTATTTATTTCTCGCTTCTTTTTTTTCCATCGTCGTCGTCGTCATCTCACGATGAAACGTCGTATTGGTAGTAGTAGTAGTAGTAGTAGTAGCAGTAGGTAGCAGAGTTGCACAAGTGCCAGCGCACGTACACCGATGTGCAGGGGGCACAACACACAGTACGCAGCGAGTCACACGCACAGGCCGGAAACTGGGCCGAGTTTCCTCTTCTTTTGGCGCGCGCACGTCCCGCACATTGTTGTGTGCTGCGTGCGCCTGTCATTATACGCTCGTGTTCCGGCTTCCGCTTCGTGTGAGCGAGCGCCAGAATTTCGCGCGCAAAAAAAAAACCAACAACAACTGACTTAAACTAAACTCCACTCGCACACAGAGAGACACAGAGAGACAGACACACGATTGGCCACACGTCGAACTGCAATTATAATCATCATTGTCGGACGTGGCGAGGGCACTATTGTCATCACACAGAAAAACAAACACATACGCACAGACACATGAGCCTTTTTTTTTTTCATTAAAGGTAGTAATCATCGCGCCGGTCATTGGAGTCACGCACTGCAACGTTCAACACAACGCGATGCTCGACGACGGCTGCGGCGGCAGTTGTCCGTTGTTGTTGTTGCGCTCGACTGGGTCAGGGTGCCTGGAACAATCTCGAGCGCTGCTGTTTCAGCTGTACCTAGACGTCGGTGCCGGTGCCCTCCTGGTAGCCCTCGTCCGGCGAGCTGCGCGTCGAGCCCAGCACGCGCTTCAGCGCCGACACGGGCGGTAGCACAGGCACGCCCTTCTGCCAGACGCGTATCTGCTTGGCACCCGGCGGAAACGTCTCTTGCTGCTGCTGTTGCTGGGACTGCGCTTGTTGCTGTTGTTGCTGTGGCTGCTGCTGGGGCTGCAACGAGGGCTGCGTGGGTGCGGGTGGCGGCGGAGGCGGTAGGCCCACCTGCTGCTGACTGCCGAGCAGCTGCTGCACGTCGCCGCCGCCGATCGGACCGACGTAGGGATTGATCGAGAGCGAGGGTCTGAGGCTGGTCGAGCTCGCCTCCCAGTTGAGGCACTCCGTGTAGAGTAGCTGGCTCTCGTCCATGTCGAAGACCCGACTGTACTCGCCGGTGGCGCCGTAGACGAGGCTCGGCAGGCCTTGCGGCTGCTGCTGCTCCGCGTCGCTGACGCACATGGACGAGGAGCCGCGCCGCGTGTCCCTGATCAGGTCCGGATTCTCTATGTGCTGCTGCTGCTGCTGTTGCATGTGTAGAGAGACCTGCGACGAGGTGGAGTAGCAAGGCATGCCGAGCGTCATTCCGACTTGTTGCGGCTGATGCTGCGGTTGATGATGAAGCCGACCCATGGTCAAGGTGTTGGAGGCCAAGCCGAGGCTCTCCTCGTAAGCCCGACCGATGAGATAATCCTGGTGGCTGTCCGTAGCGGCCAGAGTGTGGCTGATGGGCTGGCGCAGCGTCGCGTAACTGCTGTGGCTGAGGCTCTGTTGCTGCTGGTGCTGCTGCTGCTGGTTTACCAGAGACGAGCTCTTGACCACCTGCTCGCTGAAGCTCGTCGTCTCGATCTCCTCGATCTTCCGCCGACTCATGGTCGAGTTGGCCGACTGAGGATTGTTCAGCGGTTGTTCCAGCTGCAGATTGTTATTAGCACTGTTGCCACCGTTATTGAGGCCAGTGGCAGCCGCCGCCGCTTGCGAGGAATCCCCCTCGGGCGCGGGACTCTTGACGTCTTTTTGGGGCATCCTGCGTAGCCGCACGAACAGTATCATGATGGTGAGCAATATGAGCAGTATGAGAACCAGCAGAGCCGCCGAGATGCCGGCGATCTGACCCGAGCCGAGGGTCGACATGCCGGCGGTGCGCAGCGAGACGTGCAGCGTGAAGTTGGCCTCGACGCTGCCCGCCTGGTTCTCCGCCACGCAGAAGAAGCTCGACGAGTCCGTCTCCTGGGCGTTGGTCAGGATGAGGGTGCTGCGCTTCCTGAACGAGCCCTCCTCGTAGATGATGATCTTCTGATAGCTGTTGACGGCCGAGTGATTGGTCAGTAGCTTGCCGTTCCAGATCCACTTGATGCGCGCCGGCGGGATGGCCGTCACGGTGCACACGATGCTGGCGTTCTCGCCGATGGTGGCCTCGGCGTAGCGCGACACTATCAGCATGACCGGCCTGCAGGCGAACTCGTCGAAGCTCAGCTCGTCGAAGGACTTGTTGACCAGTTGCTCGGGTCGATGGCAGATCGGCGCTATCAGCGTCGGCAGATTCTGCTTCACCAGCCAGGACTTCATCTCGCGCAGATGACAGTCGCAGACCCAGGGGTTCTCGTGCAGGGCTATGCTGGTGAGCTTCTCGAGGGGCTCGAACGTGCCCGGATGCAGAGTCGAGATCTGATTGTGATTGAGCTTGAGGCTCTCGAGGAGCTTGAGGCCTTGGAAGCCCTTGGCGGCGAGCTCGCTCAGCTCGGCGTTGGACAGGTCGAGCTTGACGAGGGTCGGCATGTCCTTGAAGGCGTGGGCCGGTATCTTGCCGAGGGGATTGCGCGCCAGCGAGAGATCGCGCAGGAAGGGCGTCGAGGCGAAGCTGGCCGTCGGCACCGAGGCGAGCTTGTTCTGGCTGAGATCGAGCTCGACGAGATTCGTGAGGCCGTCGAAGGCCTGGGCGTCGATGCGGCTGATGCGACAGTTGCGCAGATAGAGACGCTGGAGATTGGTGAGGCGCACCTTGACGAAGATGCGATTGGGCAAGGCGGCGATGTCGTTGTCCGATACGTCGAGCACCTGGGTCATGGGCTCGAGGCCGTCGGGCACCGAGGTGAGGCCGCGCTGTCTGCACTCCACCGTCTCCTTGCCGCTCTTCCATTTGCACGTGCAGACGTTGGCGCACTTGTCCGAGGACGCCCGCACCGCCGAGCTCGACATCGCGAGCAGCAGCAGCAGCGCCAGGAGTAGACGACAGCCCGTCGACGACGACGACATGTTCATTGCACTAGCTCACGCGCTGCACACACGCACTACTCAACTCATCTCAGCTCCTCCTCGCTATCTGCTCCCGTTGACCAGCATTGTATCAGGAACGACGACGTTGATTTATTTATTTAGATACACAAGTCAAGCGGTGGCAGCACCACTTGGTGTCGTCGAACTTTTCCAAGCGAGAGCGCAAGAGCGAGATAGATGGATGTTTATAGAGGGAAAGCAGAGGCACATAGACGAGCCGACTACTCGCGGGGTGAGTGTGAGCGAGGGAGTAAGAGAGAGGGCGCGGGTGGCACACAGAGTATAAATGCGCGCGGTGGCGGGCTACTACTCGGATCCTCTCTCTCTCTCGCTTACGTAAAAAGCCGCGCCAAGGCGTGCACACCGCTGACACCGAGGAGCTCGAGAGCTTAGACACTGACTGCGAGCTTTCGCAAAATAAATAAATACAATCCACACGCACGCACGCACGCACTGCTGCACCGTGTTGCTGCTCTGTGTGGAGCCTGCAACTACTCGCGGAACTCGGCGCACCGACTGCGGACCACACACACACACACGCTCGCGCTTATTGCGGGGCGCACAAAATGGAGCGCCACAACACTGCTGTACGGCTATATAAGCTCGCGTGGAGCATCAGCACGACGGTGGATGACGAACTCCGATTGGTGTACGATGATTACTGCGCGCGCGAGACTATACACACTGCGCACTTTGGAGTAGCTGCACAGGTGCGCGCACTGCACACACACACACACAGACACGGCTATAATGTGCAACGTATAACGCAGCGCGAGCTTTTTTCAGCCAGTGTCGCTACTGTTGCTGCCTCCTGCCACTTGGCAGCGGACACTCGGCGGTCCGATGATTGCCGATCCACATGCCTCTATACAAGTACTTTGTCGGTGGAGAGAGAGAGAGAGAACAATTTTTGTTCTCGTTAAAGATGCACTCGAGAGATTCATCTATCACCTGTACGATGTATTATTGTTGCTGCCCACCTATACAGACAGACACACACACATGTACCAATACACGGTATTATTTTAACTCGTATATACGACTCCGATGCTGAAGCTACGGTAGCTCGGGTGCAACTCGCGCGCAGCAGCACCAGCAGCGCTAGGTAGGAGCATCGCTGGTGGCATCGGCGGCGGCGGCGTTAACGGCTCTCTCTCTCTCTCTCTCTCTCTCTCTCTTCCTACAACCAAGCCAAGTCAGGGGGTAGTAGTAGTAGTAGCGCACGCGCCAAGCTCTCTCGCCCATAGTATTCAATAGTATGGCGCTTGTATATATATGTAAGGCAGGGTGGCAAAGGTGGATGGACGCGGCGGCGGCGGCAGCCAGCGCAGTTGCGAACGCGCACACGAGCAAAACAGAGAGAGAGAGCAAAGTAGGGCGCACCCTTCGTTCATCTCCCCCTGGCACGGCTCTCTCTCTCTCTCTCTCTCTCTCTCTATCTCTTTCTCTTTCCCAACCGCGTATACCGTGTACGAATATATATACGTACGTGTGCTGCTGCTAGCGCGTGTGGATATATACGCAGATATATAGGTGGGTCAAAATAATACTTTTTTACAAAACCGTGCGCACGTATATCACCGATCTTGACGCGCTTTTGGTATGTTATAGTACATGGTAAAAAGGTCCCAAAAAAAAATTTTTAGACCCCCTCCCCCCTCCTACCCCCCACTTCCGGTATAAACGTCCATTTTCGATCTATATTTTTTCTGAGGACATGAAGCAAGTAAAAAATCTGAAAAAATTCATAAAAATACTTTTCCACAATCCAAACAACCTTGAATTTTTTCAGATTTTTTGAGTGCTTCAGGCCTTCAGATAAAATCATTGAAAATTTCAAAAATCGAGATACGGCGGTATGAGCCGATGTAGTACTCGGAAATTTTTTCAGTTATTTTTCGCATTAAAAAACATAACCTCAATTTTTTTCAGATTTTTTCAGATTACCTAACGCACCTTTTGAAGCCAAAAACCGATTTTTTTGACGAAAATAATTTTTTTAGGACAGTACGGAGCCTCGAAAAATCTGAAAAAAATTTTTTCTTGTTTTTTTCATCAAAATACGTAATCTCAAATTTTTTCAGATTTTTTAATTGAAGGCGATAGCTTCTAGGGCCGAAAAATGCTATTTTTAACAAAAAATGGTTCCTAGAACCCGATGGTTCCGGTGAAAAAATTTGAAAATATTTTTTTTGAATTCCTTGTCAAATTTTAATAAATTTTGACCGTTTCAAAAGTTCGATTGAAGCTTCCTAGCTCATTTTAGAGCAGGACAAAGATTAGTGCAAAATATCTGAAGACGTTTCTGAAGACATTAAGGAATGATAAAACTCGTTTGATGCTCTAAAATGAGCTAGGAAGCTTCAATCGAACTTTTGAAACGGTCAAAATTTATTAAAATTTGACAAGGAATTCAAAAAAAATATTTTCAAATTTTTTCACCGGAACCATCGGGTTCTAGGAACCATTTTTTGTTAAAAATAGCATTTTTCGGCCCTAGAAGCTATCGCCTTCAATTAAAAAATCTGAAAAAATTTGAGATTACGTATTTTGATGAAAAAAACAAGAAAAAATTTTTTTCAGATTTTTCGAGGCTCCGTACTGTCCTAAAAAAATTATTTTCGTCAAAAAAATCGGTTTTTGGCTTCAAAAGGTGCGTTAGGTAATCTGAAAAAATCTGAAAAAAATTGAGGTTATGTTTTTTAATGCGAAAAATAACTGAAAAAATTTCCGAGTACTACATCGGCTCATACCGCCGTATCTCGATTTTTGAAATTTTCAATGATTTTATCTGAAGGCCTGAAGCACTCAAAAAATCTGAAAAAATTCAAGGTTGTTTGGATTGTGGAAAAGTATTTTTATGAATTTTTTCAGATTTTTTACTTGCTTCATGTCCTCAGAAAAAATATAGATAGAAAATGGACGTTTATACCGGAAGTGGGGGGTAGCAGGGGGGAGGGGGTCTAAAAATTTTTTTTTGGGACCTTTTTACCATGTACTATAACATACCAAAAGCGCGTCAAGATCGGTGATATACGTGCGCACGGTTTTGTAAAAAAGTATTATTTTGACCCAGGTATATATATTATAAGCTGCTCGCAGCAGTGCCTGGTGTCGTTGACTCTGAGCGAGCGAGCGAGCGAGCGAGAGAGACCGTTCTCCCTTCTTCTCTCTATCTTGCTCTCTTGCACCCTCCCACCCCCTCTCGCTTTCTCCCTATAAATACACACACGTATTATGCGCGCGCTATATATGTATTTTAATGTATATGGGCCGTATCGCGCAGAAACTGCACGCAGTGCGCTAAACGCGGATAACGAAATTCGCCGCGTCTTTTGTCGACAAAAAAAATATAATTCGCTCGTGCGTGTATCATCAAGAGCTAAATTTTACTAGTTTTAAATTTTACCATCGTTCTTTTACGAAATCAGCGAGTGAATAAATTTAAAGAGGAATTTATAATTTTCGTATGGGGGTTTCGAGGATAATTCTCTCTATTTTACGTAGCAAATTTGTTGGTTAACAACCCTGTCTCTTATCATAGTTAAATTCAAATTCGTAACTGGCCCAAAAATTGAAAAAAAGAAAAAAAAACAATCAAATCCATCCGAATTCGCGTCAGTGCAGCGGAATCCGTCCGCGTTTCACCTTCGTATATACTATATAGACGTTTTAAAACTTTCAATACGCAGCACATTCGATTCGACGTATGATCTTTGCGAATAAATATATTATAATATCTGTCTGTCGCGGGCGATACCGAACCCCGCGTATACTCCTGTGCATATATAAATATACGTTTACATTTATGTTCTTGCGCTACGCTGCTGCCGCTTCGTTTTGCTACTCTAGCGAGCGAGAGAGCCCGGAGCCCCCCGCACACGCGCGCAGCAGCACACGTACCATTCCAACCCCTCGTGTGATACTTTTGCACGTATATATAAGCTTCTCTCTCTCTTTGCCGTAGATATATACGCGCAGGCATAAGCGTGCCGTACGGCGCAAAGAGAGCTTTCTCTCTCTCTCTCTCTCTACACGGGGCTTACGCTCTCTCTCTCTCTCTGAGTATTGCCTGCCGCTCCGATGATGACGAGAGCATCAACGATGATGGGGAGCAAAATATGCTCTCGTAGACTTCTCGAGGGGCTCCGCTAGCTGCTCTGCGATGCTGCCGCACGACGAGGATGTAGCTGCTGCTACATATATACACTAGACTGATTCAAAAAATCGAAGTTTTTCAAAACCTCGATTATACAATCTTAATGTCTTCAATATGCCTAAAAATGAACCCCAAAAATTTTTTAGCCCATTTAAATAATTTTAACTGGTCGCTCAACGAGCATGTAGATTTCTGATTTAAATAAGATTTGAGAATATATTTTATCTCTTTGAATGTTTGAGATAACTCTAAAAAATTTTTACAACTATGAGCGACATGTATTTTGATGCCAAATTTTATCACCTTTCAGAATCCGGCGTCAAAATTGAGATCGGTGCATTATCTCAGTAGTTATGAGCAATTTTGTGCCGAAAAACGTGGTTTTTGTGTAAATCGAGAAAAGTGCATTTGGTTCTTCAAAACAACAGTTCAGCACGATCACCTATTGAAAAAACCGCTGCCAATTTATTGGCAAAGAGCTTCCTTATAAAAAATAATATTAATAAAAGGCATCGGTTATTAACGTGAAAATTCGTATTTTTAAATTTTGATTTACTGTCTAGTGTCCTAACTACCAGTAGATCACGACCATCAGGACCATCAGGGCCACTACATTTCTATGTAAGCCAAAAGGCCGAGAAAATAAAAACTCGTCGTTAATTTTAAAAATATTCGGTGAATTTCTATTTTTTTAGTCTTAAATTAAAGTTTGACTGCTCTGCTTCCATTCTACCGTAAAAAAATATAAAAATTCCTTCATTTATGCATGAAAAAAAATCGAGAAAAAATTTTTTTCAAAAAAAACCATTTTTCATCCCGATACAATGAAGCATAACTCTTTAACTACTCGGTGGATCCTAAAATAAGTTTTTGATGCTTCTTACGACACACAAATCCTTCAAAACAAGCCGAACAACTTCGCGCTGCGTGTCTCCGTTCAAAAGTTACACTGGTTACAGACCACCAGACGTACATACACACACACACACACACACACACACACACACANGGACCGGTCGACGAAGGCCCGATGGACGCATCGACTGATCCCAAATATCAGAGTGTGGATCGAGAGGAGGCACGGAGAGCTGAACTACCACCTCACGCAGCTCTTGACCGGGCATGGCTTCTTTAAACACCATAGCCGCCGCTACGACCTCAATCAAAGCGCGCAATGCCCGGTCTGCTCCTCATCTATCGAGAACGCGGAGCACGTATTCTACCAGTGCCCGAGGTTTAGCGAAGAAAGAGAGAGACTACACTCCCTGCTCCACGAGGTCATGACGCCGGAAAACACCACCAGGCTCATGCTCGCGAGCGAGCCGAACTGGCTCGCGGTTGCTTCATTTGCCTACTCAGTCGTAACAAGACTGAGAGACGAAGAAGCAGACACAAGGTGATGACCGGACGATGCGGCTAGAAGAAGACGCCATTCCAACCAAGCCATCACGGAGCGCATAACGCCAATCCCTCCTCCCCCGTGAAGTAATGCTTAACGGCGGTTTCCGCGGGGAAGGAACAAAGGGAAATTGATGTGGATGTATCTACGTATTCTATGTACCCTAACTCAATATTTTATACTCTCATTGCTATTGTTACATTTTCCTAATGTAAACTTCTACCTCTTTTTTCTGCTCAATAAAACATTAATACATCCAAAAAAAAAAACACACACACACACACACACACACACACACACACACATACATACAGACATTTGTTGGTAATTCAATGTAGTTTCCAAATATATAAACCAAATTGTACTACGAGGTCTGGTTCAAAATCTCGTTTTCGAGCCTATCACAGAGCTTCCTCTATGAGGAAGCAAAACGTGATTTTTCGAGAACCTGAAGCCGAATTACTGAATTTTCAGCTACAAAAAC